TACATCGTCAGATAAGCCAACCTCGGTTATTAGTGCACCTAGGTAGTCTGCCCTTCGCGACAATGCATCAGCAACCTTGTTGTACTCTCCCTTCACATAATCTAGCTTGAGGTCATATTGGTCTATGACCTCAATCCAGCATTTGAGTGCATCAGAGAGGACAGGTCGTGTCTTAATCCACTTGAGTGTCTATTGGTCAATTCTCAAGTAGAAGAACCTTCCGAACAGATTGTGTCTCTAGTGGACTAGTGCTTTGTAGAGGGCGCAGGGTTCTCTTTCGTAGGTGGACTTCGCCAACTTCTTTGATGGCATTTTCTTGCTCATGTACTCGGCCTCAACTTCTTCCCTTCCTGTTGAGCCAGCATTGCGCCAATGCCATATTGGCTTGCGTCAGTGGTCACAACAAATGGCCTCTCCAGGTCGCGAACATTCTTGTACCTTTTGGCACAAAGATTGTTGATCGCGTTGGTGGTCTTTTGAGCCCCTTGAGGGTCATGCCACCTATTATACACAGTCTGTACGAAGTCTTCCAATGTTTGGGCCTGGGCCCAGGCATCGAAATTATGACCGTACCCCTGTTGCTGCATTAACCCATTCAACGAACGCGCCGCCGATCCCTCTAAAAAAGGAAGCAGCAACTATGACTTCCTGCTCTGGCCTGGTGAGCTTGTGTCTCACATAGGTAGTCACAGTCCTCACCCAGGTATCCAAGTCCTCGTCCTTCTTTCTATCGCCAAAGACGGGCTTGGGACTCAGCAAGGGTATCTCAGGCATCCACTCCATAGGTTGGACCTGCCCAGGCGATTGCTGCAGTGGTTGCATGGCCACTGAGACAGGTTGCTGCACACTAACCTGCGGCTGTCCAGACAATGGCACTGTAGCTGCTACCGTCCTCGATGGTACGGGAGAAGAAATCAGAACTTGACCACTGACTACTGGTTGACTACCTGAAAGAGGAATGTCATACATAGGAGAAAAAGAGGGCCCTATCGGTGACGGCGTCACTGAGGGACCCGCAACCGAAGGGGGAGCTACAACATACTGAGGCTGCCTCATCACTGGTTGAGGAGCCTGCAGTGCAGGCAGAATTCGTTTCTGACCGTCCACTAGTTCGGCCAGCACTTCCTGCTGGACAACCTGCGTTTCTGCCACACAAAGGAGTGAGTGACACAGCGCTTGCATTGCAGAGTCAAGTGCCGACTCGTCTAGTGCCTCTAGATTTCTTAACTCCTGCCTCCTAGCTCCTAGTCTAGCTTTTCTGGTGATAGCCCTTTGTCTCCTCTCTGCTGCATCTCTCAATTGTTGTTGTAGTTGATCATGCAGTTTTTCTGCTTGGAGGATCTCATAATCCTCAGGTGTGAGTGGCATCTGCTGGCTGACTTGTGAACCAACAAATTGACTAACATAACTCTGAGAGATACCCTGACTGCCACCTGACGAAGAGGCCTGGGACAAGGCCTGTGACACTTTAGAGGAGGTAGCCATCGCAACCTCAACCTGAACTCTAGCGTCTGCTAGTCTTGCTGTTGCAAGTGTTCGTTCAACGCTGGTTGCCGTTGTCCTAGCCCTCGCTGGCTTCCCTTCGCAGCCGCCTTTCCTCTCCCAGGCCTAACTCCAAGAAGGTAATCGGTCGACTGAGTGCAGTTCTACGAGTCACTCTAAGATGTTCCACTACTCGTTCCTCCTCCTCACTACCGCCTGCATCACTTATGAGCTACAGTGTGTGTGTGATCTAAACTAGAGTCCACACTGAATCCTACCTCAGCATGACACACAACCGGGTATGAACCATCAACTATTTCCGGTCAACCTAGAGAGAAGTAGTGAAGTGGTAACCAACAATCACTGTCGGGTCCTACAGGTAATTTCAATTATATTTTTAGATCACTCGTACACAAAATGCAATGCAGCAAGGAAGGAACTAACCTATCTGCAGTTGTCTGTCAGTTGTTAACAAATCCGTACAACTAAGTAATCAAAATAAAAAATAATTATATGTGGAGATGCATGCTGGATGGCAATTCATCTAATTAGTGCCACAGCGAACAGTTACCGGAATCCTACCCTCCCCCTGTATCCCTCTTGAGTAGTCACTTTGTGTCGACGTCCTGAGCATTTGGTTGAGCAGTGTGTCTGAAGGTGTGCAATCCGGCCCACCCTTGTGCCCCAAGTTTACGCCGAACCTGCCAGCCCCTGCACCTTATTTATCCTCGCATGCAACGAGCCTTACACCCGGTTTGATCTGGCTGATCAAGAGGCAGTTTAAGGACAACCCCCAAGGTCCTCATGAATTATTTAATGTCGCAGACAAGACGACGGTCACAGCCAGAATCAAAACCGAGTCCCCGCCAGAAATATTTAAAGACGTTCTGGTAAGCATCTGTCCAAAGGGCTGCCATGCCCTGCATGACCTCTATTGCAAGGAAGATGAGCGATAGCGAATTTCAGAAATCAAACAGCATCATACATACAAGACCAGATAGTAGTGACCTCGAACCAACAACAGAATTGCATCACGAGTTTCACCAAATAAGAACACACCAAGAGCTCATAATTGACAATGCTGGTATAGTCTCATCATCATTATCAATGAAAAACCAATGTTGATATCCTATTTGGCGCTCGGAGCCCAGACTACAGATGGCAGATCCTATCTAGCCTACTCTACAATGCCGCCGGATGACGTCAACAGCTTCACCGAAGTACGAGCAGACCTCGGACAATGTCGTCGCTTCTTGCACCAGGTATGTCTCTCGTATCACTCACAACCCCGTACCCCAACTCACAGATGCCACTTGCACCCAAGGACCACCCTGCACCTTACCCAGCTCCCAACAGCGCAGCTCGGCTATGGCTGCCTGCTCCTTCCAGCTCGCCCGTGAGCGCGTGAGCGCTAGCCAGCTTCAGCGCAGCATGCAACCAGCACCTGAATGCCAAATGCGGAGGCAGGCCCTTTGCTATATGGAAGTGGCTTGCCTGCCTTCTGTCCCAGGCTGCGTTGGGCCTTTCCCAAGAAGCTTCCGGTAGGCCCCGATAGGCCGAGGCCCAGTCCAAAGGAATTGGCCGAGGGCTGCTGACAATTACCTGTGCCCAACTGCCCGCAACCTAAGTTGGGCCTATGTTACGAATCTCGCCCAGGGCCTGACTCAGATGCATTTGATAAAGGAAGCCAGGGCCTGGGCGCTTCCAACCAACTGGCGCAGNGCCCAGGGCCTGACTCAGATGCATTTGATAAAGGAAGCCAGGGCCTGGGCGCTTCCAACCAACTGGCGCAGCGCAACTGCCTGAATTTCCCCAGTTGCGAAGTACTCCAAAATAGGCCTCTGAGGGTCTGTCGGGCCTGCCTTCACTTACGGCGGCCGACGCTGTTGCAAATAGGGCCTAGTGGGGCTTATCCAGGCCTTGTGCCTCGCATTCCCTCCTCCATACTTTGCTAGTCCTCTGGGAAGTCTAGTCTTCGATAATTTGGCGCTTTCCTTTTCGTGAAGACTTCTCATAGTGGGCGACTACCTGTGGAGCGGTCTGCATCAGTTCCTCCCTTGTGAACCATCTGTCCTCCTTTGGATCAGTGTGATGTCTGAACCGAACTCGATACTGCAGCTTCGGTTTCGGAGGACGTCCTCTGCCTGTTAGTCTTGGAACTAACATCTCCCGGTGGTCAACAATATCATCAATGTCGACCTCTCCATCCATGGTTGGGGGCAGCATTGAGCGACGAGATGGAAACTGATCTGTTTCTTTAAAAGGTGCAAGCTTTGAGGCGTGAAAAACAGGGTAAGTGTGTAAGACACCAGGGATGCGAACAACATAAGATGGCCCATGTGGTTCATTCCCAACAATATCCAGAATCTCCCATGGTCCAAAGTACTGTGGCATGAGCTTGCGGGACATCCCGTGTTCCTGCCCCGGTTCTGAAGACTTGACCCAAACTCTCTCTCCTACCTGAAACGTGGATGGGCGGCGATGTTTGTTCTCATACTCTATCATTGTCGCCTGGGCCTTGTGCATCTGCTCAACAGCCTGCTGCATCAGTTGCTTATATCGATAAGCAAACTGTAAAGTCCCTGGCGCAGTAGGGGGCTGGTTGTCAGGTAGTAAGAAATCGAGGGGCAGTCTAGGCTTAAAGGTTAATAGCAGACTATTCGGGCTCACGCCCATTGCGCTATGGACTGCGTTGTTGTACAGGCTGGCAATGAGAGCAAGCTTCTCATCCCAGTCTACCTGATTTGGCTTGATGTAATGCCTCAGCAGGTGTTGTACAACGAGGTTCAACTGTTCTTCTTGACCATTTGCCTCGGGATGGTTTCCTAATGTCACCTGCAGTTCTGCAGCTGCAGCTTTCCATAGTTCACTTGTGAATCGCACATCACGATCACTGACTATAGATTTGGCAATCCAAAATCTCTAACCCAGTTCTCTTTGAACAACTGAATCACCTGCTCAGTCTTCGTTGTCTCCGGCATTGCAACTAACCTAGCGTACTTACTAAACCTATCCACGATAACAAAGATGTGTCTCATTCCGCTCTTGCTGGTGACCAGTGTATCCATGAAGTCCATGGACAGGCCCTCACCAAGCCTTTCCGGAATCGGAAGGGGCTTCAGGAGCCCAAGAGGGGCCTGTGTACGGGGCTTGTCTCTCTGACAGACCTGACAAGTCTCCACGTACAGCTCGGCATCTCATCATCGTGGGCCACCAAAACCGCTGCAACAAATTGGCTGCAGTCTTCTTGAAACCAAAATGGCCGGTGGCATCATGACACTCTCCTAAAAATAAACTACGCAAAGACTCTCTATCCGGTACACACATACGTTTATTCCCTTCCTTCTCAAGGAACAACAGTCCATTCACCAACTCAAACTCAGCAGAAGTCACCTTGTCCTTCGCCTCAAGTCTGCGTATGATCTCAGACATAAACCGGTCCTCGTGACAGACTTCCACCATAAACTGAGTAACATCGTCCGCAAGCCCAAACTCAGTGATCAGCGCACCAGAGAAATCTGGTCTATGCGACAGCGCGTCAGCAACCTTGTTGTACTCGCCCTTGATGTACTGGGGCTCAAAGTCATACTGCTATATGACTTCAATCCAACGCTTCAAAGTGTCAGAGAGCACATGCTGGGTTCTCATCCACTTCAGGGTCTGGTGATCAGTCCTGACGTAGAAGAACCTCCCAAGGAGATAGTGTCGCCAATGGGTGAGCGCCTTGTAGATCGCATAGAGTTCCTTCTCATAGGTGGACTTAGCCAACTTCTGAGAGGGCATCGTTTTGGACATGTAGTCTACTGGCCTCATCTTCTTCCCCTCCTGCTGCGTAAGTACGGTGCCTATGCCATATTGGTTAGCATCCGTAGTTACTACAAATGGCTTGTTAGGATTAGGAAGTTTCAAGACCTCATGATGCGTCAATGCATGCTTCAGATGTCTGAAAGCAGCCTCGTATCTGTCTGTCCACTCCCATGGGGTGTCAAGGCGAGTCAGGTCAGTCAAAGGGGCGGCAACTATGCTATAGTTCTTCACGAAATTGCGATAGTAGCCAGTCATCCCTAAGAAAGACCTCATCTCAGTCACAGACTGAGGACGCGGCCAGTCACGAATGCTGGCCACCTTCGCGTCATCGGGCCTTAATCCCTCCGCAGAAATCTCATGACCCAAGTACAAGACACGGGTGCGGCCAAACTCGCACTTCTCACCGTTGATCTTGAACTTGTGTTGTCGCAGAAGACTTAGGACTTTGTCCAAGTGCGCAACGTGCTCCTCGACAGTCTTACTAAAAATAAGTATGTCATCGAGGTACACGATGACAAACTTATCCAAGTAGTCATGAAATATCCAATTCATAGCGTGCTGAAAGGTGCCAGGAGCATTGCGAAGGCCGAAAGGCATCACCACAAACTCGTACAGACCGTATCTGGTCTAAAAATCAGTTTTGTGTTGATCCTCGGGCCGGATTGCAATCTGATGGTACCCGGACTTCAAATCTATCTTACTGAAGTACCGACACCCTTGCACTTTATCTAGCAAGTCAACGATGCGCGGTAGGGGCTCTTTGTTCTTGACAGTGATGACATTGAGGCCCCTATAGTCAATGCACATCCGAAGTGTTCCTTCCTTCTTCTTTGGTACGAATAGGACTGGTGAACCATAAGGAGAAACACTCGGCCGGATCCAACCCTTTTCTACGAGTTCCTTGAGTTGCCGGCGAAACTCGTCAAGCTCGCCTGGAGACATCCGATAGATCCTACCCTTCGAGATGCTAGACCCTGGGATAATCTCTATCGCGTGGACGACCTCCCTCTCAACAACCCCCGTCGGCTCTTCAAATAGATCAGGGTATTTAGCAACTACTCCCTCTATCTCCGATGGCATTTTCACCGGCTCGCTTGTAGCAAAGACATAAACTAGATACAGACCCTCCTCCTGATTTTGCTTATAGTAATTATAGAACGCGGCCGCACACATGCATCCGTGGGACTTGATCAGACTACTAGCTTTGAACTTACGTAATCTGGCGGTCCCCTCACCTGGCAAAGTGTGTTTGACCACTTTTCGGTCCCAGTCAAACTGGGGCTGTGCCACAGAGAGGTAGTAGATACCTAACAACATATCCATGGGGTTCATCGCTCACTAGGAACGAGACACAATGTCTCAGTTCCCTTCCCGCGTACGGGAAACAACATTCAACATCTTGGAGGTAGTCATTGACTACCATGCGTTGTTTGTTGGCACAGGTCGACTCCACAGGTCAACTCAGGCGCTGCACTTGCCCCTGTAAGCGCAGCCTCTCAACGCACACGCGACTAATGAAGTTCCTTGTCGAGCAAGTGTTATAATAGGCCCAGGCCTTGCGGCCGCCAATGACCACCTCGCTGACGAACATCTCACCCTTAGGAGCTTTGACTAGTGTCGTCCAAGAAGCTAGTGGGTCTCACCTAGACCACTCCTCCTCTAGCTCCTCTAAGGACTCAAACACATTCATCGAACAGAGGGTCGATGGGTCTGAATGTGTTTCCGGGACAACGGTGGAGTCAGTAGCTTGGGCCATCTTTCGAGATGGTGATGGTGTGTCCACCACCTCGACCCCAGCAGGAACAACTACTATTGCTACTGGCCCAACGTGTTTCCCGGAGCAGTGCCTGAAGTGCTGGCAACATTGCTACCAACGGAAGCGGAGGATCCTAACGCCTGCCCCATCGTAGGCGGGATCTTCTTGGTCACCTTCTTATTTCGGCACTTGAATTGGTTATGGCCATATTGGCCACAACGGATACAAGCCTACCGTGTGGACCGATCTCTCCACACGGGATCTCTCCACACGTCCTCAGTGAGACCCGCTTTCTCCCATGGAGGAGCATTGGGGTCAACTTGACTCCTTGACCGGGAACCTCCACGGCGTCTGCCGGTCGCCTTACCTTTTTGTGCTACGGCAGTGACTACTCCACCCCCTGAAGCTTCTACGCTGCCAGCCTCTGAACCTACTCTCTCCTGGAAGTTGTCATCTAATTCGATGGTTGAACCATCGTTATCGACAAACATAATGCGACCCTTCGCCTTCCAGTTGGGAGGCAGTGGCTTCTTCCTACCATCCGTCGTGGGGTTATGTCCATGCCCTATCTTTGCCTCCAAGTCCAGGACCTTCTTGCTGAACGAGGGAAAGTTGTGCATATTGATGTTGGCCTCACCTGCCAACTGATTCCTGAGAGGCATGGGAAAGCATCTCAGGTAGGAGGTGAGTAAGACCTGGGGGTCATAGCGCACCCCAGGGACACAGATCAGATGCTCTACAACGTCAATGGCCTCCCTTACTGACTTGAAATGCCTCGTGTGCAGTGTCAGGATCGCGTCAGTGGCCTTTTGGGCCTCCTGAGGATTGTACCACCTGTCTTCCACCAACTTGAGAAAGTCATCCAGTTTCTAGGTGACCGCCCAAGCGCGAAAGTCATGACCGTACCCCTGTAGCTGCAGTAAACCACTCGACCATCGTGTTGCACTCCCCTCTAAATAGGAGGCAGCCACGAGCACTTCCTCGTGCGGCAAGGTTATTTTACACTTGACATAGACCGGCACTGCCCTCAACCAAGTGTCGAGGTCTTCGCCTCTCTTATCCCCTGTGAAGGGTTAGGGAGCGGCGATGGCCGTCTTTGGTATCCAATGACTTTGTCCCGGTCCCTGCATCACTCTGGGCTGCAGACCCTGTGGTGCAGGCTGTTGCACTAACTGCTGGGGTTGTGTGCCCTGCGATTGTGCAGGCTGCGAGACAGCAGGCTGCACACTGACGGCAACCTACGACAGGGGTTGGGTGAACATTGTCTGTACAGGAACCTGCAAACTAGGACCTGCTGAGAACCCTCCTGATAATGGCATGCCCAGGGAAACGGTCTGGACCGATGCTGGGGCTGTATATGGGGATACCCCGGTCATCGGGGGGACAACAGGAGGAGGATGTACAACGGGCCAGGCACCTGGCCCGGACGGTGATCGTGACGCCTGCGTTCGCCCGACTAACACAGCTAGACTTTGTTGGATGTCCTGTAAGATCTCCATTTGGTGATCTTGCATTTCTACTACGCTTAACAAGACCGACCGTATGGTCCTCACATCATCCTCCATCTCTGTTGGGTCCATCTTCTCTAACTCACTAACGTCCGCTTGCCTCCCCTGCATCCTGGCTCTTCTCCTAAGCATTCTCTCTTTCTCAGCCTTAATCTCTCCCAACGCCTGTTGTAGCTGTGCCTCGCGATCAGCAGCTCGCTGTATGGCGACCTCCTCGGGAGTCATCACTAATGGCTGGTTTGCCATAATGCCAGTGGACTGACTCTGGGTCTGTGCGACCGTTGACCCTACAACTCCTGAACTGCTAGTCTGGGAACTCTGCTGCGCAGAAGTGGCCATGGTTGTCGAGGTTGCGACTTCGCTCACGAACGCCCTGCTAGCCTCTGCTGCTCTAGCTCTCCTCTGCTGCTGCACCCTCTCCCTGCGCTGACGGAACAGGTATCTGTCGCCCTTTGGTCCTAAAGCCAAATGGGCAATCGGGCGTCTAGCCGATCGCAAGATCCGGTCGTCCTCTCTAGTGTCCTCCATGTCGCTCATAAGCTACAACACTGCACACAATCTGCACTAGTGCACTCTAGATGCCTATCGCAGTGTAATGCACAGACCAATTTAAAATAAATAACTAAATAATTGGTGGTTGTGTCAGAGTAGATGCATTTGGGTTCAACAGGTAAGTTCAGATTCCCACAAACGAAAACTATTTCACTTTGATTAGTCCGCAAATAGAAAGAACAAGGAACAGAAAACAGTTCTAACTAATGTCGTATGTCAGATGTTAATGGCAGTACATCTAACTAATCAAAACAAAAATAATATCATTTGTTGGGTCTGTTCACGACATGGGATCTTACTCAAACGTACCACCTGAAATCTACCCCTTCCCCAATTCCCCTTGATTGTCACTTGACGTCAGCGTCCCTGAGCAATTTGGTTTGGTGTGCGTGACTAAAGGTGTGCACACGGTCCACCCCTGTGCCCCGAGTAGCTGCTGAGCTGGCCAGCCCTGCACTGTGTTTATCCTCGCGTGCAGCGAGCGTTACACCCATTGCCTGATCCAGAGGCAATTTAACGACCGCCCCCAAGTGTCATCGGGAATTATTTTACGTCGCAGCAGGACGACGATCACAGCCAATGGTTTCCCCTGCCAGTGTTTATTTATAGATGCCTGGTTCTCGTCTCCCACATAGGGTTGGCCTGCCCTTCAGTACCCCTTCTATGAGCGCAGCAAGCAGACAAGGACAAAGCAGCAAAGCAATGCGTGCTCTACTCCCGATGGGTTGGCATGGTGACCGTGACCCAGTGCTTCGTCCAGGGCCCTTCAGAAAGCACCGCCCTCTCCTTCCAGATGCTCCACAAGAACAATGCCGACTCTCAAGGTTGAGCGCACACGACACCTAACATGAGAGGAACCTCAAGAAGGAACTCACAACCTCACGGTAACAAGTGATGAAGAGGGTAGATAAGGTTAAGAGCAACGTACCTCAATATAGCTGCCCCCAACCACAAATATTTTCAACAGATGACCTCATGGCGATTCCGATGACCAGTCACTGCATCGGCACAACCAACATTATCTCGCCGTTCCACCTCAGCATCAATCAACCACCAGCTAGTTCTCATCACACTGCGAACACCCAATATACACACCGTAGCCATCCTGGCGATTCCCCTCTCCTCCTGGGTCGCCAACACCTTGTCTCCGCCCTCCTCACCAAGCAGACCGCATGTATGTACCGCATAGGCAGAAGACAAGCGCCAGATGAGCGCAACGTACCACAACCCCGATACCAAATTGCAAGGAAGATGAGCGATAGCGAACTTCAGAAATCAAACACCATCATACATACAAGACCAGATAGTCGTGACCTCGAACCAACAGCATAATTGCATCACGAGTTTCACCGAATAAGAACACACCAAGAGCTCATAATTGACAATGCTGGTATAGTCTCATCGTCATTATCAATGAAGAACCAATGTTGATATCCTATCTGGCGGCCCAGACTACAGATGGCAGATCCTATCTAGCCTACTCTACAGTGTCGCTGGATGACGTCAACAGCTTCACTGAAGTACGAGCAGATCTCGGACAATGTCGTCTCTTCTAGCACCAGGTATGTCTCTCGTACCACTCACAACCCCGTACCCCAACTCACAGATCCCACTTGCACCCAAGGACCACCCTGCGCCGTACCCAGCTCCCAGCAGCACAGCTCGGCTATGACTGCCTGCTCCTTCCAGCTCGCCCGTGAGCGCGTGAGCTTGCACCCAGAAGGCAGGCCAGCTCCCAGCTCGGCTATCGGCTATGACTGCCTGCGCCTTACCCAACTCCCAGATGCCACTTGCACCCAAAAGGCAGGCCAGCTCGCCCGTGAGCGCTTGCGCAGCATGCAGCCAGCACCCGAAGGCCAAATGCAGAGGCATGCCCTTTGCTATATGGAAGTGGCCTGCCTGCCTTCTGTCCCAAGCTGCGTTGGGCCTTTCCCAAGAAGCTTCCGGTAGGCCCCGGTAGGCTGAGGCCCAGTCCAAACGAATTGACCCAGGGCTGCCGACAGTTACCTGTGCCCAACTGCCCGCAACCTGAGTTGGGCCTATGTTACGAATCTCGCCCAGGGCCTGACTCAGATGCATTTGATAAAGGAAGCCAGGGCCTGGGCGCTTCCAACCAACTGGCGCAGCGCAACTGCCTGAATTTCCCCAGTCGCGAAGTAGTCCAAAATAGGCCTTTGAGGGTCTGTCAGGCCTGCCTTCACTTAGGGCTGCCGACGCTGTTGCAAATAGGGCCCAGTGGGGCTTATCGAGGCCTTGTGCCTCGCACTATTGTGCAGCAGCAGAACCAAGGACTTGCGGCAAAGCATGTGTGTACTAGTCCCAGCGGGTTGGCATGGTGACTGTGATCCGAGTGCTTCGTCCAGGGCCCTTCAGAGGCTTCGCCCGTCTCCCACCAGCTTGCTGCCCAGGAAGATTGTCGACTCTCAAGATTGAGCGCTCGCGACATCTCACTTCAAGAGGACTCTCAAGGCAGAACTCACTTCCTCATAGTAAGAAATAATGGAGAGAGTAGATAAGGAAGAGAGCAACATACCTCATAATGATGCCCCCAACCACAGATTTCTCACCCGCAACCTGATGTGCATTTATGATGACCGGTCTTTGCCTCGGCACAACCAACAGCAGAATGCAGTTCCACCTCGGCTTAAATGCCACATCAGCGAGCTCTCATCATCCTGTGTACACCCCTAATGTCACCACATAGCTTCCTGGCGCGCCCACACGACCCTGGGCCGTCTTCTGTTTAACACCCAAACCTTATCACTGCCCCACACCTCATGCGAAGCATCGAACAGCTATGGCGAAGAACCAATGAAGCGCAGTTCGAACCAGCTCCGATACCAAATTGCAAGGAAAATGAGCAATAGCGAGATGACAATGTCCAGAATGCACAATCACATTGAAGGCCAGATAGTATCACAGTGTCTAGAAAGCAGAAATGCACCAATATAACACCAATGAAGAATTGCAACTCTGAAAACCAATGTCAATGAGAGCTTGCTCTCGCCACCACCAACATGAGTGTCCAGGCCCTATCTCTCTACTTGGCGCTCGATGCCCAGCCTACTTCCTACACAACTACATTCTGCCTACTAATTGACAATGCAACTGTTGACGCCAGCAGCCCATGAAGTACTTGAAGATGTCGCCCAATGCAGACCATCGCCAACACCAGGTATGTGCCCTCACATCATCATCATCATCATCATCATCATCATCATCTTTCTCTTTCTCCCCTGACTTACTCCCACGTCTTCCCTCTGTACACCCGAAGACCACCCCGGCGCCTCACTGTAGTCCAAGCCCAACCAGCTATGGAGGCTGGGCTATGGCGCTGCTCTCAGCAGCGCCCTGCTCCCTGCATGACCGCACGCGCTAGCACCTTGCCTCTCAGCACCAACAGCAGCTCACGAGCGTTTGCTCCAGCAGCGCTGCCGCCAGCATGCAAGTGCTGAATGCCGCTCCAGGCAGCGATCTCTTTCCTATATGGAAAGAGCCTGCCTGCCTGCCTTCGCAGCCTGGCTGGCCTGGGCCTGGGCCCAGAAGCTTCCGGTAGGGCCCAGGATGCTGCGCCTCTGGTGCAGCTACTGGGCCTCATTTGGTTGGGCCTCCCGACTCTCTGTGTATGAGGCTGCGAATCTCGCCCAGGGCCTCCACTTTCGGAAATGCCTAGAAGGCCATGGAATTTCCTCGCTGCTCGGCCTGTGTTTCCTTCAACCAACTGGCGTGACGAAACTGCCTGGACCCCAAATACAAAACTGACAGCCGAGGGCTTCTCGTGATTTATTATGCCCGCCTTTAGTGCGGGCGCAGATGCAACAGAGTCCCCTTAGGCCTGCCGAGGACTCAGATCCTCACACCTTTAAGATCAGAGCAAAAATGGCTAGTTGGAGACTGGGTGGCACAGAAAAATCAGATAAGTACCCAAGAAGTCCTGAAAATTGTCAACAGTGAAACACATACCAAAGAATGGATTTGATGCAGCATCTACCCATTGAAAGAACCAGGAAACCCAATGAGCTATCTACACGAAGAAAGTAGGGTTGAGGGATGTTTTAAAAGTAGCAACCTTAGAAGAATTAGAGTTCTAGAAGGAGAGACTAACAGAGTTTACAACCCGGAATCAGACACCCAACACCTGGAAATTGACCCCTCAGAATGGTCTTGAAGCATCTCTGACAACACTACAGTTGTGACACGAAGACACAAACTGACGGACTACACAAACTAGGCTATAAACGTTTTTCTACACCGACCTCATCCAATACAATAGTCCAAAAAAGAAGGCAAAAAGAAGAAATTTCTCTCTTTGCATCTACCTTCAACCCCTCCTGGTCATCAATCTTCAGTGCAAAACCCGTGAAATTGGCAAGCTTGCTATGGTCATAACATTCAGAGCAGTCCCAGTAAATGACTGGCTAGCACAAAGAAGAAGAAAGGACGACAGAACAGAACAAGCTTCATGGTGCACAGTTTGCAATTCTGAAGTGAAAGAAACGTTCAACCATTGCTTCCTAGAATGTGAGAAA